CATTCGGCTTTACAACATTGTTATTATCCTTCGATGTCGTTGTTGTTGTTGTTGGTAAATTTATGTCCTCGGCATTGGTAGAATCATCAATGATGAGACTATCATTATCTGACCTACTTGCATTAGTCTTTGACGTTGTCGTGGTGGTAGTGGTACAATTACTATTCACACCATTTTCCGATTTACAATGATTATCACCATTCGATTGTTGCAAGTCATTTGGCCTCGTAGCTGCCATTGAGTTGCCTGGACTGCTGCTGGTGAAGGAAGTCGAGGCGGGGGAGTGGCTGGCATTTGTTTCAATGTATGCTGAATTTAACAATAGTGTTTTACGATAGATGAGACCCTGCAGTGATGTCTTGATGCGAATCCCTGTCATATTAAGTATGTGCGTTGATGCCTGTGACAAGGCACCCTGGGCCAGGGCAGCCAACAGTACCAGCCAAGCAATGCACCAGCCATTCGTTACTAAATCAGACCATGTGGCATAGTAAATTTCCACTTCACTATCACTTGTTATGCCTTCCATGGCCATGGGGGAGTACGACGAAGCGTATGAGGAGGACGAGGAGGAGGCGTACGACGAAGAAGCACCAGCAGCTGAAAGAGAAGCATAAGGCATTGTGGTTGCATTATAATCGTTACCATTGGCAATTTGATTATACACATCGGTATTAATATTTCCAAAATCATTGTAGTTGTTATCTAAGTTGTCGTAACTGGGCAGCATCCAGGCTGAATCTCTTGTTGCACATTCTGGACACATTGTATTTGGCAGCCAATTGGATCCCGATGCTGTTGCTGCATCGAATGCTGCTACAGTTACGACATTGATTGCCTTTTGGGCCATTTTTGTGGCATTAATGGCCTGGTTACTTCTAATGCTTCTTTCTATAATGACACACAATGAAATTGGTAATAGACACGGAGAGGAAGAAAGTGTGACAGGAAGGAAGGAAAACGGGGGGTATAGAGTGGGTAAGTTAGTGTGTGCGTGTGTGTTACTAAGAAGAATTGACGTCTCTTGGAATGAGTTTAGTTTGGGGTTTCGGCCAATTGATGTATTGTTATTGTCATTACTTACTTATATTGTTGTTGCTATTGCCTCCTTGTTGCTGATGGTCATCAGAGCCCGGTCGATTGTTGCCGTCGTCGTAATGCATGCTATACATGATTTCGATATATTGCACAATTTGCTGTATAGCCAATGGGCCAATCACCGCAAATAAATCACCGAACAATTTTAAGAGACCACCCAAAGTGAACATCCGCCAACTGTTTTTCAAATAGCACAGCCACAATGAGGGAGGCTTGTCCGAATGTTTCTGCAAGAAAAAAATAAACGGAAATAGTAAAATAGCAAAATTCTGGATAAATTTTCGACAAAAACATTTGATAACAATTTTCAAAAAAATCAAATATGCAACAATATTCAAATATTGAGCATTCTGATGGCGGTGAGACTGTCATCTACATTTGAATAGAAACAACGCCCCCTTGAATTTTGTGCAGTGGTTGGGGTCTTGCTTATTCAGGGTTGCCGTTTTCCTCAAGTTTACGCTATCCCTGGCAATTTCTATGTTATGTTTTATTCTCATTTGTTAGTCTGCTGCAGTTTGTACTAAATAATGGGGCTAACATCTATCATAGCCTAGGAACAACGTGTCCTTGAATTTTATTATTTACAGTGGATGGGGTCCTTACTTATTTAGAGTTGCTATTTTTCTGTAGATGATAGATTTATTGCAGCATACCTTAGCAGATGGAGCTGTCATCTATCGTTGCCTAGAAACAACACTTCCTTGAATTTTAGGTGTTTTCATTCCTATTTTTTGTTGTAGTTATTAGAATGGCAGGGGGCTTCGGATGTATTTCATTTGAATGCAGGTCTCCTTGAATCCTTGAGGCTGTAGCCTATCCCAGTTGACGATACTGCCATCTATCGTTGCCGAGAAACAGCGTCTACTTGAGTATTAAGTGTTGACATTTTCATCTAGGTTGTGTTATTTACTGCCATTGTTTTGTGATGGCACTGCCATTTATCGTAGCCTAGACATAGTGCAGTGGTTTGAGTCGTTGCTTATATTTAGTGTTGCTGCTTTCCTTTAGGTGGCGCTATCTCCTGCCATTATAATTTTGTTTTATCTTAATGTTTTGCGTTCAGCTAATTAGATGATTGGTCTTTAGTTTTGTGCAGTGCAGTTCCTTAGTTATTTGCTGTTGACATTTTCTTCTGGGTGGCGCTATCTTCTCCCATTCCTATTTTGTGCTATCCTCGTCTTATTATTTAATGTAAATTTCTTACAATATTTAATGTAAGTCACAAAGTTCGAAATAGTGCTATAGTAAATATTAGTGGAAGGTATGGATCAAAACTAACTCTACCTTTGAGTGGTTATAACGAGTGGTTTTATCTAAGGCTGGAGTAAGCTTTGTTGCGGTCAGGGTCAACTGAAGGTTTTCAGTAAATACTCTCGGCTGTTAGCCTTTTTAGCTGGGCAGTAAGGAGTGACTGGCTGGGAACCCAAGAATTACACGGGGAATTAACTGCGGACCTGCCACACGTCGACTTCACTTGTACTGTTCGTTAATTCTGGTTCTCAACAACTTCAGCGATGAAAAAGTGAAACACTTATACATATGGTGATTCGAAGTGAATGTGAATTATTCTGTCACTATATATTGCATAAATGCACTGAAGTTGAAATAGGGGAATGAGTAAACATAGATGGTTGGTTGTCTTAATGATCGCATAAGTAATGTGTGTTGTTGTAATAGAGATAAAATGGTGTTATGGATATTAGAGTGGTATTTTATAATGGCTATAAGGGTGATGTTTTGTTTATTTATTTAATTTAATTTTGTTTTCCTAAACTTAAAAAGTTTTAATCCTACAGCTTGAAAAAAAAATGAATTATAGTCTTACTTTCCGATAAGAACTAATGAATTTCGAATGGTCTATGGTTTCATACAGCTTTAAATAGATATTCTTAAATAAATGCTGTTCTACCACTTTAAATTAATATAAAATTTAAGTTTGTGGGTTATAGAGCCTGCACAACTCATTATTTGGCACAAATGGAACGACTACGGATACACCTCCACATTGTAGGCATGCTCTTCTAGACACTAGAAAGGTAATTTTGACTGGTGGTCGATTAGAGTAGGGCACCATGAACTGGTATCGAAGACCATGTGGTTTCTGGATTCGCAACGACCGCAACCACTCTGCCATTTACTGCTTTCGATTGGGACATACAAATAAGCAAGCGGGGTTGGCACCATAGTCATATCTGGGTGACCTCCTAACTGGGTTAAAAAATTCTGCAGGCGCTCTATTTTGGGCATGTTGCGATCAGGAGCATGAGGTGTAGGCGCCATCGACACATTTTGGTTTGCCGGTCTCTGACCAGTTATGGACATTGCTATGTTCTGCATATTACAAGAGTCTCTCTTGGAACTCTGGTTGGAGTTTGTGAGGCTGGCTGGTTCACAATGATATAGGAGATAGGCTGCTACCAATATTTGAACTTTCAGACGAATATGATGGTTACGGTGGAGACTCTGGGCTATTCTGGAATCGAATAGAATTATCTTGGACCGGGCTTATAATGGAGGCACATAAGGTTTCGGGCTTTGTGGATGAGTAACTACATTCAAAGATTATAATAATGTTTTATACTATATTTCTTTTGGGATTCGCTGACGACCGTGTTTATGACAAATGTAATTTGCGGTAGGCATTGGTCCCAAAGGTGATTACCCGATTTGTGCGTTCAGTCGGATTTACGTGGTAGGCGTAGACGGCGGTTGTTCGGTTTTCATTGTTATGATCATTCTGAAAGAGCCGACTTATAAACTGGACACCGTTCTCTGTTAGCAATACCTTTGGACATACAAACTTTCAAACGATGCGTTCTTTTAGGGTTTTAACAACATCCTGGATTACTGCTCGTCTAGTAAGGATCAATGCCACTCTCCCTAGCATCAGTTTGCAAATAAAAAGGGAGTGTAAAATCTGGACATGCTAGTACTGGAGCCTAAATAAAGAACTGTTTTAATTCCTCAAATGCCTTGGTCTCTCCGTGGTCGAATTCCATTGTACAGATTTTTTTGCAAACGGTTAAGATGGCTGACAATTTTTGAAAAATTTAGGATAAACCAACGCGCAGACAGTTTAGGATTTTAAATTTTTTGAACTCAATACCAACTTATTGTACCCTATTATAGTTATGTCTGGTACGAATACCAAAATATTTTCCAATTTAAAATTAATTTCCTCCAAGAAGGCTTGTATTTTGCTACAATTTTATTTTTCTTTGTGAAATTCAAAGAATCAGTTCATATATTTAGTTGGTCAATTCGTTCCACAAAAAAGGCAATTTTAGGCTAAGGTCATGACCTAAAGTTGCCTTCGCCTTTGGCTCCAACGATTTGACACCAGTTGTGACCTTTTCAAAATTTCCCCGGGTTACTTCAAACAAAAAGTTATTGTTTTCTTAGTACTTCGTTTGAAACCAAACGTTTACATTGTTCCCTTGCTTTATTTCCTTGAAAATTTCAAAATTTAAACAGTATAATTTCCTTAAAACATTTCATTTAAAATCAATAAAATAAAGGCCCAAATAAACATCCCAATCACAACCACAAACGCCAGCTAGAGTTTGACAAACTCAATACATTTACACTTCCACCTACACTCAAACACAATTAAAGGGATTACATTTTTTCCTTATTATTATTTTGTGTCCAGCTGTATGTAGTCATTGCCTGTCCTCCATTACCATGTCCAGATGTTCTTTTTCTGTTGCAGTTAATTTGTTTACCCATTAAGAGCTGTTCGTCTTTTTTCGTTTTTCAATTTATTTTTATATAAACAAAACATAAATTAACAACGTGTCAATAATTAAAATTTTCCAACAGAAAAAATGGCAACTCCACACCAATACGCTTCGAAAACTGTCATTCTGGCAGGCAGTCGGTCATCCGACAAGCAATTCGCAATTGGCCAATAAACATTGGCAAATAGTAGCAGCAACATATATACAACGTCTGAGGAGATTTCACTTTGACTCGATGCGGAAATTATTGACGAACAGAAAATATATAATATTGAAAGTAATTAATTTGTTAAATATTCTGCAAAGAGTAGTTAAATTTTATTAATAAAACAAAGTGGAAATGGATATTCTCAAATGAAGTTGATTTCGAATGCCCCTACAAAAGCAATTTAAACTATTTTTTTGAAATCGTAACAACTGTGAAGCCTTTAGTTCATTACTAACTTAACAGGAAAAAACAAATCTGCCACTCAGTATTTGAGGGTTGGTTCGACGAACTTCCTTTTTTTAGTCCTGATCTTACATGTGAAAAGTGATGATACCTTAAATACGTCTTCTTCATTGTCTCGCTTATGTTGGGAACTCTGTCTTCTATACTCTTTAATTTTTTTTAATTTCTTCAGTAGTTCTTCTTGCAGAATGTTTATCGTAGATTCTTCCACAGACATCTGTTGCTTAAGCAGGTACTCCAAGTTGTATTGATTATGAAGTATATTTTTCATATTGTCCTCGAAGGCGATCTACGATATACGATCAGGTTCCATGTCCACTGATCCCACTTGATATAGATACACCGCTGTGGAATTCTTTATTTATATTGGCACCGGTTGGATTCGCTCTTTGGCTCATCGCCAATATTACTAGCACGCAACCAATATTGAACTACGGTACGAATTTCATTCGGGTATATCCTTACACTAAAGTGGACATATCTTGCCAATTAGTACCGTTACAAGCTTTCACGGTAGCTGTCGCAGCAATCCACCTCTTCCAGGATGTGTTTGTTCTAGTATCCCCAACGGCTAACAAATTGGATGTGTATCTTCATTCTTTAAAAATAACAGTTGCCCCTTCTGTAAACTGTCCTGCAATTTTTTCATTTGTATCTTTGCATGAAATTCTCTACAGCCTCCCAGATACATACGAAGTGAGCACTTGCCGGCGGAATAAAATCCCATTTAACTTTTTGCCTCGGGTGGCGTAGGGGCTGATGGATATCAAGTACCGGTTCTGATTAGCTTTAACATGGCGAAGCCCAGGCTTATCTGGGTCCCTCTTTCTGCTCAATTGTGATCACTAACCTACCCGCGGTGTCCCCTGGGGCCGCTAATTTCATCACCCGTTGAAATAGTGAGCTGATATGTGCCGCGAGTTCACCCATAAGAACTATAAAGAAATTGGTGTAGACGTCGGGTTAGTTGCCTACACTCGAAAAACCCCTCCTACTATGAAAAGAATATAGAAATGAGCGCAAGTTGTACAGCACAGGCCAAGTTGTTGTACAGCACAGGTAAGTTGTACAGCACTTGCCTTGAAGCACTTGAAGTTACAGGAAATGAGATGAAAAGGGACAAGCGTAAGTAAATCAGACGATTACGCACTGTATTATAGCTGCATTAAACGAGACATGAATTCAGCTGCGGATTTATGGTTAACACGAGAATAAAAGACATCGTCTCCAGATCCACTCCAGTAGATACGAATTGCCATAATTTATTTGGAAGCGAAATTCAAGTTCATCAGTCTTATTTGCGCCCGTACTCCGACCGAAGACAAAGATGAACAGACCAAATACATATTTTACAAGCTCCTACAACCTGGTGACATATAAAGACATCCTGCTGAGAATCTGGAGCATTTTGAAAAGCTTCTGGTTTCAAATAGTGGCGGTGAAGAAAATACCCCAGAACCAATAATAGATGGCGGTATAGAATGTATACCGCCAAGCCATGATGAAGTCAGAATTGCAATCAATCGGCTGAAGAATAATAAAGCAGCAGGTACCCATGGATTACTAGCCGAGCTATTCAAGACTAGTGGTCAGATGTCGGTCAGGAGCATGCACCAGCTGATTAGTACAATTTGGATAGAAGAATGCATGCCCAATGATTGGAACCTTAGCTTTCTGTGTCCCGAGCAAGAAAACAGCGTGCTGTGTGAAGGACTGAATCCAATGGTCAAAGACATTCCAATGCGGCTTCAGACCTGGCAAATATACCCTATCCGTTCAAAGGTGTTTGAAGCCATGGCTGCGTTTGGCATTTCTGCAAAATTAATACGATTAAGCAGGATAACATTAACTGGCACAAGATTTGCAGTTAAAGTCGGAAAGGACTCTCGGAGCCCTTTAATTCCGAACGAGGATTCAAACAAGGGGGTATTTTGTTGTGTTACCTTCTCTGGAAAAGATCATAAGAGGCAAAGGTGAACAGAAATGACACTCTGAACACCAAATAACACATGTCACATTGAGAGAGGCACCTTTGAGCAAATTAAGAAGGGGTCTGACAAAGTGGGTCTGATGGCACAAGACTTCCAGTAGACTCGGTTCAACTGTAGTACTTGAGAACTATAGCTTCGAAGTAGTCAAAGAGTTTATATACCTTGGTACCGCCATTAATAAAACTAATGACACCAGTATTGAAATTCGGAGAAGGATTGTGGTGGCCAACAAATGCTACTATTGTCTAAGTAAGATGTTTAGAAACAAGGCCACCTCCCGCCAGACCAAACTCACACTCTACAAGACGCTAATACTACCCGTGCTGTTATATGGACCTGAAGCATGGGTACTTACGGAACCACATGAGGAATCTCTATGGGCCGATCTGCGTTAATGGTGAATATCACCGTCGAATGAACCATGAGTTGTACCATTTATTCTCAAACATAGGCATTTTCAGACGTATCAAGCTGCGGCGACTACGTTGGCTAGCTCATGTTGTGAGAATGGATGATGATGCCCTAGCTCTAAAGGCATATAAATAGAATGGCCACGAATAAGATGGAAAGATCAAGTGGAAGACAACATTGCCAAACATGGTCTTTCAAATGGTAAGAAATGGGCAAAAGATCGACGCACCTGGAAATCTTGTTTAAGCTCATCTTATGGAACAAAAGTTCTGTCCCAAGCCAGCTAAGTAAGTAACTCTTTGCCTCTCTAATATTTCTCAAATTTCAGAAAATGTTCGTACAGTATTCGCAAAATCTGCATTCAACATCCAGGCGTCACCTACGAAGTGTGTACCATTGTTGGTGTACATGCCACTACTTTTACCCCTTCCGAAAAGAACTGCTGGAAACCATTCCGTATCCAACCAACTAAGCGCTTCCAGATGGACTGCCATTGTCGCCATACATCTGAAGACTTCAACATAGGCTTTAAATAATTTCCGACCTCTACCTCTTTACAATATTAGCAGTAATGGTTCAGTATAATGGGTACCGCAGTGTTGAAATGTTACAGATACTGACTCGATACTACGGCAGCACACTTAGCCCATACTTCTCATGTATGGGTCACTAATAGGTATGTACTGGATATAATGGTATATTAGGAATGTTAAGTCGACAACCCTCGTACGATCGCTCCATAATACGTTATATCTTCCTTCGGGTCGCATCCAGCCAAATATTGCACGCAGTGTAGGGCATACGAACTGCTTAAGAATTTCAGTAATTCACCATAAACGAATATTTATTGAATCATATAATATGAGATTTTATTATACCAGCATTTCATTTTCAATATATGTTTATGAAGGACATCAGAGCGTATTATACATGTCGGCAATTATACGCCATGTGGTTGCAAGGTATTTAATTAAAAGTATAAAATAGTTTTCTTTAAAAATTTATAAATTAAAAAATAAATCATTTATATAAAATATCCAGAGTCAAGTCTTTTTGAAATTTTATATGCTCTTTCTCAATAAAATAAACATTTTTTTAACTAGCAGACATTTTAAGTCATGTCGCAAAATAGCTGACCCAATTTTTTTCACTTGGAAATATCTTCTCAAATTTTGATTATAAACTTCCTGCAATTTTAATACAGCCCAATACTTTTTATATGACTTTTATATTAAATTTACATTCATGTATAATTAAAATGCCACCACCAAATTGATTTCATATAAAACATACAAGAAAAAAGAAAATTTACACAAATTATGAAATAATACACAAAATGAAATAAATCTGACACGGAAACAGAAGCATAATTCGACACAAAGCAATGAAAGCAATATTGAAATAATTGTAATTTATCCTCTTTTTGTATGCAATTCGTCTTACTTACCACTTTTTCTGTTTTATAAATAAGCAAAAAACGATCATAATGTGCCCTCGCACTATCCTCCACTCGCATTTGACCCAAATCTTCCAATTCCAAGGGTTCTTTGTAACCAAACCACAGCAAGGGAGTTAGCCACCAAAAGCAGGCCTTTGAATAAAATGTGGCCAGCGTATGTTTGTAACCGATTTTATCATAATCCTCTAAGTAATCTGGGCGGTAGCGCTGTAAAGGAAGAGAGAGAGGAAAATTAATATACTATCAAATTAAAATAAAAATTTTGAAATATTATATGACGAACTAATATAAATTCAATAACTAATTCGGCTTAAAATTGAACCGAAATCCTATAGCGTATAAGTGTCGTCAGTATTCATACGCTCAATGGTACAGTTTTAACTATTCTGAGTTGTAGATCAGTTGTAGCATTTACAAAAAGAAAAGTTTGAGGATGTTTTCATAGACTGAAGATAATTTACAGGCAAATCCGAGACAGAATTTTTTCCTCAAATCTGTAATAATGAGCGTATAAATACTGTTTATGAAAAGTGCACTGTTTAGATGTTAAATCGCTTCTGATTTTATTGCGAATATAAATCTATTCTATGTACTTATCACTAGGTGCTCCCTTGCTAAGTGCATTATCAGTTGGGCATTGTCTTAATTATTGCTGCACCCCAGCAGCTCATAAAGCATTATCACTTATGCGGCAATTATCTATGGCAATATATTTATTTTAGGCAATTAAAAATTTATAATCTATACACTTTTTAAATTATGTTTATATTTTTATGAACATTCTCCCGGCCGGCAAATGGACTATGTAAAATAAGTTCATATTTTTATGAACAAATACTGAAAATGCGTATACTCTTTAAGATATATAGGTACAATTTTAAACCGCTATTTATATAAACACCTCACTTTTTCATAATCTAAAGCAATGAATTTATTTTCCCAGATTTTCCTAATTACATATATTTATACTCTTCACTACACTGTGGTACAGGGTATTATGTCTTTGTGCATATGTTTGTAACATGCAAAAGGAAACGAGATAGACACATGGTTCATTTTGAGAATATGCATAGAATCACTTTTTAAGTCGATTTATGCATATCCGTCCGTCTGTCCATGTTAAATTGTATCCGAATTGGATGAAATTTGGCATACGTCCCTTATTCGGCCCAAGGACGAACCCTATTGAAATTTGGAAAAATCGGTTCAGATTTAGATATAGCTCCCATATATATTTTCGTCCGATTTAAGGTAAATGGTGCACCAATGTCATAAGTATCTTTCGATTTGCACGAAATTTGGCACAGTGTACTGAATTAAGCCTAAAATGATGTGTGCTAAGTTTCGTGAAAATCGGGTCAGATTTAGATATAACTCCCATATATATTTTGGTTCGAGTTAAGGTAAATGGTGCACCAAAGTCCCTAAATATCTTTCGATTTCACGAAATTTGGTATAGCGTACTGAAAATAGTCTAGAATGATGTGTGTTAAGTTTCGTTAAAATCGGTTCCGATTTAGATATAGCTCACATATATATGTTCGTCCGATTTAAGGAATATGGTGTACCAAAGTCCCTAAATACCATCCGATTTGCACGAAATTTGGCACAGCATAATGAATTGGGTCTAGAATGATGTGTGTTAAGTTTCCTGAAAATATATATAAATTCCATAACCATATTTCATTTTACTGATCCTTCAAAAATGCGACGCACTATGTCGCGAGTTCATATAAACAGCGGCCAAAAATAGAAGGAGTTATCGTAAGTTAATGAAATTTGGTACATGTGCTTGTTATTGGCCTAAAGAGCAACTGACAAAAAATTTGATAGATCGGACCAAGATTTCGTATACCTCCCATACAATGGGTCTTGAGAATGTAACCTTTTTTGGCCTATAAAATCTTTAATATTCAAACAAATTCAATGAAAATTGGCAATTTACATTTAATTAGGCCTCTAAAGCAACTGACCAAAAACTGTGTAGATCGGACCAAGATTTGATATACCTCCCATACAAAGGGTCTTGAAAATTTTACTATTTTGGGCTATATAATCTTTAATATTCAACCAAATTCAGTGAAAATTGGCAATTTACATTTACTTATGCCTATAAAGCAACGGACCAAAAACTGGGTAGATTGGGCCAAGATTTGATATACCTCCCATACGAAGGGTCTTGAAAAATACGCTTTTTGGACCTATAAATTTTTTATATTCATTCAAGTTGCAAGAACATTTTCATGTCTTCTTCCAAATTACATCAAATTTGGGCGAAGATAGTAATAGGTGCTGTAATTTAGTTGTTGGCCCATATTTCAGGTACCTACCATACCAAAAATCCCTAAAAAATGTAACTTTCTGTACTATAAAATCGTTATATGCAGCTAAATTAAGTATAGTAGTTTTATTTTTGTTATTTTTAATATAATAAAATATTTGATATACTTTAGTTACTAATAAATTTCTTTTTTATCATTCACAAAATTTTCAAAACACACGTCAGAGATATATATAAAATATTGTCTTCCCAAATGTACGATTTAGTATTATCCACGTTATAATCTCGGGCCTTTACTTTATGGCTGTTTAAGGATATTACAAGTCGGGTTGTAATATAAAATTCTAAATATCCTTATTTAACTCGGTTTAACAAAAGTTCGGGCTGCTACTAATTATTTGTTGGCATGACTTGTTAGCATCTTGTGAAAGTCGCTCAAAAGGTATTGTACTGCACTTTGCATATCCCATGCCATGAACTAATATTTTTCTGTATGAACTTTCCACAAATGTAATTCATGTGCGACATCTAAATTTAGATTATAATATTATGTCTCAAATGATCTGATAAATAAGTATAATCTTCAAACTGACTGAAAATTTATTTAAAAGCTATATTTTAAAAACAATTCTCCCATATCTTCGCTTCGAATAACGTTTTTACCACTTAATTGCAAATTTTATGTAAAATATTGTATTATTTCTATGTTCTGAATACATATTCTCCTTCCTATTTGACCCTCAATAACTTATTTAATTGTATACATAACATATTTGACCATTCGCTTCTAACCATTTCATGAATATGCCATATTTTTTAATAAGGTTGTCACCAAAAAAGTTAAATAACTCTTAGGACCGCAGGACTCCGCAGCTAATTTTTTTATTCCTTAAATAACACACTTTTCACCACTCAAATAAAAAAAATTAGAGCTAACCTTTTTTAAACTTTTTTTTCTGCTCCACTAATTTCAAAATTTGTTTTAAAATTTTGATGAACTAAGTACTACAAGTGTGGACGACTGTATACACCATATGATATCTATATACATACAAACTAAAGCCAATCCTAGTTTTTACATCCACAGCAACCAAAATAAACACTTTTATAATAACCGTTAATTTGAATATTCAAATATTTGAGTATCAGAAAAACACATCCATTTTTCGAAAATATGGTAAAAAATCAGTTTATAAATAATTATCAGATTTGAACCTTTGTAGAGACAAAACTACTTAACATATCGATATAAAATTTCATATTTATTCTAATTGGAGTGTTTTCTATCAATCCTCATCAAAAAATTTGTCCTCCGTGGTACTTGGTTTTGACCATTTTTGGCCGCGGTAGTGACACTGTGCGACGTATGTTAAGATTCATCTGTTGATATACCCAAAGTGGTGAAGGGTATCATAAAGTCGGCCCCTTTCGACTTTACTATTTTCCTTACTGCTTTAATTAATATGTTTATTTGAATACTTCTTCCAATATTTAAAGCAGTACCATGGATCGTATGAATAGCGATAATACTTATACGCCATAATGGCCAACCAAGGGCTTTTTATAATATCAATCATTTAAATCTTCTAATTGATTTTATTGTTGTCGATTGATCTAGGCATGGATTTATTTTCCAGATTTTCAGAATTCTATATGTGTTAATTAATATATTTATGTGTAAAATAATTTCACTCTTGAAGTAATTTTTTTATCGTAACTAAAAAAGTATTGCAAATTCTGCCTTCAGCATATTATTGTCAGTCTATACACTCTAGGATACCACCAGCAATGATTCTGGTTTAGTTTATTTTATTTGTCCATACATACATTTTTTCAAACTACATAAATGCCAATGCCCCAAATTTTATTAAGTCAGAGGCACAGGGCGAAGAGTGTTGATATGTAATTTTGATGTTCATAAAAACATACATAGTTTTATTCTCTCGCACTAGACCTCCTGTTATCCTGTAGCATGAAACTTCAAAAAATAAAGTGCTAAAAATTTATTTACCCAAGAGCAATCTCTTGTTGTGGAGTTTTTTGTTATTGTTTGCCACACACACACACCCATCAAAAACAGGACAATTTTCGTAAACGAATCATAAATAGTTTTTGTATCACAGTGTATATTATATATTTTACATGTTAAATGCCTTATGCTATGTGTGAAACTGGATTTTTTTCTTGTTGCGTACTTTTCGTTTTTTGAGAGTCAGAGTTTAATGGGTTAAACGTATTTTGATTTACTGTATTTTGAGATGAATTGATGGGAAGTCTTATAAAAGAGTAGATACAGGTATATTAGAGGTTCACCATCGTTTGAAAATATTCCCCATCTTTATAGGAGGCACACTTTATGTACGGCATATTTATAGATGTAGTCTCTACAATCAAGCTGAAGGCTGTAGGCTGAAGTAATTCTTTATAGACGAGCTAAATGACGTCTTTACATATGAGATGAATGCAACCTCTATTAAACTAGCTAAATTATGGGTTTTGTGCAGCCCCAAGACCCACCTTTAAGTATACCGTATCGCTATATCGAATTATTTTATGAGCAGACCAAATGTTCAAGTGTGAGGATAGGTTTGTAGGAGAGGGGGCGCAAGAAGATGTCTTGACTGAGTACGTCAACAACCGCTGAAAACAGTATCAGAGATGTTTCTGAAGATATTGTCATATCGCCCCGCCCATTCCAATCCATTTGGACGGATGTATCTGGCTTGAACGTACGTACGTATTTCATCGAATTTTTTACATTTTGAGCACAAACAAAGTCGCATAGATA